ATTTTAATTGAGGAAAATAAAAAAAAAAAAAAGAGTGGGGGGGAGGATAGAGGAGAAGGGGGGGTTGTCTCACGCCCTGCCTCTTGAATTTATTTATTTTTTCTCCCCCTGGCTGGATGCGTGTCTGTCTGCCCCAAACAACACAAAGGTTGTAATACAACCGGATGGAAGGGAAATTACTTTATTCACTTTACAAACCGCCAATAAATTTTATAACAGGTAGTTAAAAGTTACGAGGGGGGGAAACTACGACCACAACAGCTTCCCGAGCACAATGGAGATCCCATTTTTCCAGCCAAGCAGACAAGATAATAAATTCCATAATGGGGAGAGGAAATTTTGATCCCGGCGGGCAAAAAGTAACCTGGGCGCGGATTTGCCAAAGGGGAATTTCGGACCCTCGTTCCGCTCCCTCCATCAGCCCCCCCCACCCCCCTCCTCTAGAAAACCTCCCCTCTCCCAATATTACCCAGCGTATTTTCGGCGGGGGAGAGGATAAAAGAGCTGTGAATTTGAGGGAAGGGGGGGTGTTTCAGTCTAGGAAGCAAAAATAGGACGAGCTAAACAAATAAAATAAAATTGGGGCAGAATTGCCCCTTTTTTTTTACTTATTATTTTTTTTTTTCGCAAACCTAGCTCACGAAGTTTCCCCCACCTCCGCCCCCGCGCATCTTCCTCCCCTCCCTCGCTCCTCGCCTCCATCCGCGCAAGACAAAAAATTTAACGCCCGAGAAATTCGTTGTCTCTCAAATATAATCCCTGCCCATTTCGGAGTATAAAATCTAAACGAATTTTTTCGCCTAATGGCTGCATTATCGCGCGGCGGCGGCTGTGATTAGAATAATAAATTAAGGGAAAATAAGCAATATGCTCAAACTCAGCTTTTCGAGGAATTATATTTTTCACAAATCACAAACGGAGATCCGAAGGAAATTTGATTGGCTAATAAAAAGCCTGGAATAGGACGATATTTCTTACTTCAGGCGGGTAGATGAGTCTAATTTCAGTAATACCGAAGCTATGATCATTTCTGAATAAGCCACTTTGTGGAGAGCGAATCTTCTTTCAAATTACTTTCCCCCATAAAATGGTCTCTTCTCTTTTTCTCCTGAAATGATGGAGCGATTACAGAAATAACTGGATGTCATCTGAAGACGCGACTCTCTTGTGTTGACTACAGAACATAAACATTTACCCCAAAACTAACTGCTGCGGCTGTAGTTTTCAATAATTTAACTCCAGACCCTTTTGATAGATAAATGTCATTCCCTAGTATTCGTTCGGATAAAACTACTTAGATTTGTGGATTTAAATATGATGGATAGAGTGCGGATGCAGCTACTTCTTTTTTTTATTATTATTTGATTTTATTATTATTATTTTTAAACACTTTGAGAAGTTCTCCCTCTCCTTCCCCCCCCCTCCTGGGGAGGATATTTTCCACCCAACACCTTCATCGCGTTTTTTAATTTTTATTTTTATTTTTTGAGTAACCTAACAAAAAATATTTTCTTTTCACTGATTTCTACGGATTTTTTTCATCGCTGGAATGAAGGAACACGCATCCATCCTATGATAGCAAAGACGGGGGGGGGGATATTCCTTGTAAAGGATAAATAACCCCCCAGAAAATAAAAACAACTCTGTTAGAATAAACCACTCTTTTTTTTTAATTATTTATTTCTCTCTTTTTTTTTTATGAGTAATAAAACTGCTTACCTTCCGCGCCTGCCCTCGACATGGAAAGGTCTAGAATAACCCTTATTGGTGTTTTTTATGTATTTCTGGGGAGATTAACGCCGGGTAACGAGGGCGTTACGGGCTCCGCGGGGAGGGGGGATCTGCCCCTGTGAGTATTTTGGTGGGACTGGGGGGGGGCAGGTAACTCAATATTTTCAGGTAACTAAATATTTTCAAACACATATGCTGATACCCCTATGAAGATTCCACCCTGGGGGTCAAACTGGATGTTACAACAAATACATGGTGTCTGCTTTTTATGACTATGTTCAAAGTTATTTTGATAAAACTGTTTATGGTTCTTTGTTTTAAAAAAATACAGATCAAAAATTATCCGCTAAACTCTGTTTATTTTAATCATAAGAAACTATGCTACACACTTAAGTTCTCAGTCTTTAATCCTCCATTTCCTATGCAGCATCCATGTGCAGTCTCTCAATCTGCAATTCTGAGACATAATCCCATACAAATACAGTATTAAGTGCCATGGTAAACCTGCCAGAGGAGGGCAAAAAGGATTAGACTACTGCAGTTTAACAAAGATTCAGTGAATGTGTCACTTTAGCATCTGCCAAGTTTTGACATGAATAGTTACTTGCAATCTAAATGTATTACTTATCTAAGTATTAATTACCCACTGAGGAAAAAAAAAAGAAAAAAAAGAGATAGACCCGGTTTTCCAGATCAATAGACCTCGTTCAACGAAATGAGGCTGGTGGGAAGGGAAATATTTAGGAAGTTCACCTCCCAGCCGAGGAGAAGAGGGACCTGAAGGCATCACCGCTAGGTTTTGCTGTAAATATAATAAAATATAATAAAATAATATAAAATAATATAATAAAATATAATAAAATATAATAAAATACAATAAAATATAATAAAATATAATCAAGTATAATAATAAAATACCATCAAATAATACAAGTAACAGCAATAGCAACAGTAATAATAGCAGCAGCACTAATAGCACTAATAGTAGTAATAGAAATAGCAGTAATAGCAGTAAAATAAGCGGATGTGTCAGGTCAGGGATGGTGTCCGTGGGGTATGAAGAAGGTATAAATTTGGGGGAAGAGTAATAAGGA